TTTTTTTTTTTTTTCTGGTGTTTGGATGGATTTAAGATAAATCCATGATTAAATATGCTAAATAGTATGCAACCAAGCACCGTCTTAACCTCAAGTTTAGAAAACAACAAAAAGACCAATACATCACTGTTGTATAATTATTGCAAACAGATTTGCAAAATAATTATCAAGAACTGCACATCCTTTGATAAACATTTTTGTCCTTATTCAAATAATCAAATTGAGCGTACAATAATTACTTGGAATTAGTAAATACTGTCGTGTATATGTACAGAATGGAAACTTGGTTTTCCTTTTTCTTCCATAAGTAATATTGAAAAGAATTGCAAATATTTACTCGTACTTCCTATTTGATTATGGCCTGAGATGAGAGTGGACCTTAACCAAATTAAAATAAGAAAAAAGGGAAAAAATCTACATGGGTAAGAAGACGTGCAAAATCAAATATCTTACAAATGAATACTCTTGTCTTGAATTGAATAAGGTCTCACCTTTCTCTTGTTTGTGCTTTAGCTTTTTTACGGTTGAGCATATCGAGCTGAAGGCCAGACAGACGTCTTTATCCTAAACTCCAATCATAAAATTCAGTTCTTCAGTTCTATTTTAATGACAAGGTTTCCCCATGAATAACCCACTTAACAAAGATGTCCGAAAACTCTTCAGGGGCATTATTAGTAGAAAGAGCTGCATCCATCTCCTGTAATCAGAGTAAGAAAAATGTTCACTATGGGCACTTATGCAACCATTATCAGAATGCCAAATAGTTAAGGTTATTTAAGGGTAAACTTCTTAATACCATTTTCAATTGCTGTATATAATCAATGAAATTGACATTTGTTTGGTAAAGGCTATAGCCAGTTAGCCTTAACCAGGTTAGCAAAGCCCAAGTAAAACAGCTTACCACAAAAAAATTCACATAAAAATTAACGTGACTATTGTGGAACAATTAAGATGGGAATTTTCTTACACCTTTGCCTAAGAAGTATTTCTATTAGTCCAACTAATAAAAAAATCACATAACTTGAATTTATAAGTATTTTTTTTCAGGAAGTGAGAAGACCTTTATTTTTGATTAACTAATATCTATAAGGTTTAAGTCTAATTAACTTCAAAGCGATCAAATCCTGCTTTTTACAATCAATCTAAGCCAGTATATTGCTGGCCACCTCTCAAGATGGCTTTTGTTAACCTGGCTAAACAATGTTGACAAGGACTTCAGATAAAACCATCTTCAACGGTATTTTGCAGATTGAGCTTAAGCCAGCAACGATATTCTCATGCTGAAGCCAACTTTTTTAATTAAATCCTACAACTAAGCAAAATACTGAAAGAACAATATATGTTCTGCAACTGCAGTGTATTTTGGTGAATCCACAGGCAAGTATATGCAATACCGAAAAACAGAAAGGCAGGGCAGTGTATCAAAAAAATTTCTAACCTTCAAAGGTGCAATTTCATCATATTCTACACAGTTGGCAACATTCTCGGATGAAAGATTTGCAACCGAAGAGTTCATGAATGATGATTTAACAGTTGACCTGCATGTCCAGAGTAAAGCTTCATCAACGTAAGGAGATGCTGGCAAACATAATTGACTTTTAAAATCACTATCTCAAAAATCATGACAGTAATCAAACAACATATTAGTTACATAATTCTGACAATAAAATATGAAATAAAATAACAAATAAGAATACCTCTCAAAAGTTTCCTCCTCGCATAAATTACCAGAGGATGATAGCTGATCAAGATCCAGAAAATTTGAAGATGTCGATGCATCACGCGCAATTTCACTCAAGTATCTATGTTCATTATCAACAAGAAGCCGCTGACAAGGCATTGTCGGTGTACAACTAGGACACGCAGCCAGGTATTAGTTTTGAAGCCTAAGTTTCATATAACTGAAAAATACAAATCATATTTTATACATGATAACCAACTCAAAGCAACTTTGTTGTAAAATCATTGAAGGAAAAACATTTTCTGTTCACCCAACTCCTGCTTCCATGAAGATGCAGCCCAACCAAAAGAAAACAGAAAATCTTCTTATGTAAATTAATGTTAACATAAATCATGCTTATCTTTGTATTTTAAGTCTGCAACCACATGTCAGCATGGCATGAAGTAGTACTATCAAAGGGCCATGGGAATAGATGTAGTACTTAATGATTGTGATAGACTTAGGGATGTAGATTGATTTCACTTGTTCTCCACTCTGAATCAGCTTCTCAGCTAACAGGGTCGCTTTTGGTGTTGTCCTAGGTGTACTTTAGCTGTAAGATATTGAGGTTGAACTCTACTTGTAAGATGAGGTGGTCGTTCAATGATGTGGTCTGTCCACTTTTGAAGTTAGGATATGAAAATTGTGTCTGTAGTAAGCTGGTAGAAACTGACGTTATACCTCACGCTTCATCTTTAGATTCTATCGTTCTCCTCTTCAACTCTTCAGATCATGATCGAGGTTAATTTCCCATGGGTTTCAACCTTAATTTCCGCAAGCCTCCGCTGAAGTCGATGAATGTCTCGTTGTATCTCTTCTCGGGTAGGCTTGGGAATGCATCTCCTTGGTAACATGCTTACGGTGTAGAGTGGGAGGTAAAAGAGGGCGTAAAAATTGATTCTGCAAATTTTGAAATCAACAAAGGTAAATTAGGTTCAAGTCAAAGTTTTGGGGCAAGGAAATTTTTTTGTGAAGGGGCAAAGCGGATTCTACGAAATCCTAAGATAAGATTAAGGTTGTAATAGCTCTGATATCGAATGATACCGAAAAAGAGGAAGGTTGGAGAAGATTTAGCAGTACTTATCGAGAGATACTATCTGAAACAAAAAAAAAACAACCAGAAAAAAGACGAGATGCACTAATCAAATAATGATACAAGATAGAAGAGTTCTTTTTACTCTCGCAACTAATCGGGATACAATCATCAATACCCAAGAGATTGACGAAGGAAGAAAACCTGAGATGTCACCACCAACAACGTAGGGGTACAGTTGCCACCACCCAACGTTGCGGATGCAAACTCATTCCAGTCTAGAAACCACAAGGGACAAAAAGCACTTACACAATTCAAATGAACAAAAATCCCCTAGAAATAAGAAATACAAGATTTAAATAGTTCATGCTAAGAGGAAACCCTAATTAGAAATAAGGAAATAGAAAATAAATCAAAAATGAAAGAAATATGCTAAAGATAAAAATATCTGGGTGACTTTGTCAGCGATACTATAGCCCAACTTGTGATATAGGTGATCTAGCATCCCACGCTCCCAGATTAGAAATAAGGAAATAGAAAATAAATCAAAAATGGAAGAAATATGCTAAAGATAAAAATATTTGGGTGACTTTGTCAGCGATACTATAGCCCGACTCGTGATATAGGTGATCTAGCATCCCACGTTCCCAATCATTATCACTTGGAGTAAGTCTATTTAGGAGATTTGGGAGTTCCTTGGCTTACTAAACTCTTTAATATTATTTAGAAACTAAAAAGATGCCCGAGGAGTACAGGAAGTTGATTTTGGTCCCCATTTTTAAGAAAAAAGAGGATGTATAAGAGTGTGCAAATTATAGAGCAATTAAGTTGTTGTGTAATACTTTAAAATTGTGGGAGAGGGTAATTGAACATAGGTTAAGACGTGTTATAAAGATTTCCCATAATCAATTTGGTGTCGTGCAGGTCTTCTATGGAAGCTATACATTTATTGAGATATTTGATGAAGAAGTACAGAGAAAATAAGGAGGATCTACATATGATTTTTAATGATTTAGAAAAATTTTATGATAAGGTTCAAAGAGAAGTCCTTTGGAGAGTTCTAGAGAATAAAGGTGTTGGCATGGCTTACATTAAAATCATTAATGATATGTATACTAGAGTTATTACCTGTGTTTGAACAGGAGGATTGACCAAGTATTTTCCTATTTCAGTTGGATCGGCTTTAAGCCCATATCTTTTTGTTTTAGTTATGGATGCTCTTACTGGACATTTAGAAGAGGATATACCTTGATGTGTGATTTTTGCTAATGATATCCTTTTTGTAGATAAGACTAGAGAGAGTTCAAGAAAACTTGAATTATGGAGGTCTACATTGGAGTCTAAAGACCGTCATTTGAGTAGAACTAAAACTAAATATATGCAATGTAATTTTAGTTTCAGCTCTAGTGTCAGAGTCATAATTATGGGTGATAAAACCATTATAAAATGTGAATGTTTTAAATATCTCAGGTCTATCGTTCAAAGTGATGGTGATATAGACGGGGATGTTATTAGTAGAATTCAAGTTGGTTGATTGAAGTGAAGGAATACATCGGGCCTATTGTGTGATAGGAAAGTGTCGCTTAGACTGAAAGGAAAATTTTATAAGATGGTGGTGAGACCTGCAATGATCAATTGTGCAGAATGTTGGCATTTAAAAAAGAAGCATAAAATAAAGTTAAGTGTTACTAACATGAGAATGCTTAGATGGATGAGTGGGTTGACACTTAGAGACAAAATGCCAAATAAATATCTCTGTGATAGAGTTGGTGTAGCTCCAGTGACAGACAAGATTAGAGAGAGTCCCCTTATCGTTTGGTCATATTAAACGTCGATCATCTGATGATCTGATTCTAAGAGATCATATTAAACGTCGATCATCTGATGATCTGATTCTGAGAGAAAATGTTTTGGATTCAACTTATGTTAAGAAAGGCATAGGTAGACCTAAAAAGACTTGGGAACAATATATAAAAATAATCTTAATTTATTGGAATTAAATGAAAATATGAGACTCAATAGGCTGCAATGGAGAAAAAGGATTCATGTAGCCGACCAAACTTAGTGGGATGAAGGCTAGTGTTTTAGTTGTTGTTGTGGCTATAAACACAAGTTAGACAAACTCGTCAAATCATGCCAATTTTGTCCCTTATTTTAAGCTTTCAGCAGTTTATTTTTGTCAAGGCTATTGCTTCACGCATCGCCATTTTCCCCCACTAGAAATATAATTTCAGAAGAAGCTTGTAGAATCTATGATTGAAAGGCAACTTTTCAAAGGGAATGCACTTCTGATCTTTGCACTTTTTTACTCCAAAAAGGCAAGAAGAGTTTATTGCAGGGGTGGACAGATTTCAAGTAGCGACTATGAAAAATAAATACAATAACAAATAAGTTATCACATCTAAATAGCAGAAATGAAAGAAAAAAAAAGTTTTTTGGGATTAGATGAATTTAATTTTCAATTTGTGATTATATCAAGTTAACTGATTAATTAGTTCTCGTTTAAATAGCTAAGGTCTAAGATTAGATAGGTGAGCAAAAGCCAGAGAATCAATGCCTCATATATGGAAAATGAAAGCAGCGTACCAGAAAAATGCATCATTTTTACAAGCTGAAATTTCTGGTGTTGAGTCAGAAAGTCGCATGGAACCCTGGACTTCATGTGTTTTATCAGACATGACTGATTTAGGGAGTTCATAGTTATCCGTACAGCAGCTTGACAAAGGTGTATTGTTTTGATGTAGAATGCTTCCATCAGAAAAAGATCTTTTCATAAATGACCTGTAAAAAAGTACAAATACTTAATGAGGAGTTACTAATAAATATGTTCCAATGGGCCTAAATATTAATCGCCAATTAATTTGAGATGAAACTTTCTAATGCTCAAAATAAACTAATAAACAGGAAGAAAAGAGGGTGCCGCCAGGTACCGCAAGGTTCCGCCAGGGAATTATGGCAGCAAGTGATAATATCAAATACATACAACAACAACAACAACAAAGCCTTAATCCCACTATGTGGGGTCGGCTACATGAATCCTCTTTCTCCATTGCGTCCTATTTAGTGTCATATTTTCATTTAGTTCTAGTAAATTAAGATCATTTTTTATACAATAAGCCCAAGTTTTCCTAGGTCTACCTCTGCCTTTCTTTACACAAGCTGAATCTAAAACATTTACTCTCCTAATCGGATCATCAGATGGTCGACGTTTAATGTGACCAAACCATCTAAGACGGCTTTCTCTAATTTTGTCCGTCACAGAAGCTACACCAACACTATCACGGATATATTTATTTCGCATTTTGTCTCTAAGTGTAAAGCCACTCATCCAACTAATCATTCTCATCTCGGCAACACTTAACTTATTATTATGCTTCTCTTTTAAAGGCCAACATTCAGCACCATACAACATTGCAGGTCTCATATCTAAATCGTTCACACCTTTTAATAATTTGATCACCTAAAGTCACACTTCTGTCACTAGAGCTACTACTACTAAAATTACATTCCATGTATTCAATTTTAGTTCTACTTAAATGAAGGCCTTTAAACTCCAATGTAGACCTTCAAATTAAAGTTTTTTCCTGGGTTTTTTCTCTCGTTTAATCCACGAGAAAGATACTTCAGCAAAAAGCATAAACCAAGGTACATCCTCCTTTAGATGCCCAGTAAAACCATCCATAACTAAAGCAAAAAGATATGGGCTTAAAGCCGATCCCTGATGTAATCCAACAGAAATAGGAAAATATTTGGTCAATCCTCCTTCAGTTTGAACACAAGTAACAACTCTAGTATACATATCTTTAATGACTTGAATATAAGTCATATCAACACCTTTCTTCTCGAGAACTCTCCAAAGGATATCTCTTGGAACCTTATCGTAAGCTTTTTCTAAATCAATAAAAATCAAATGTA